GTGGTCGTGGTCGTGGTCGTGGTCGTGGTCGTGGTCGTGGTCGTGGTGGTTGTTGTTGTTGTTGGTAGAGACAAAAACAGCCGCCCAACATAGTTGTCACATGTTGCAAGTCAGGGATTTCAATGGATTCTGTTAGGGATAGGGTCGAAGGTTTGGAGAGATGTTAGTAGCTGGACTTCTTGTCGTTGTGGTACTCAAGTCTTGGTTGGTCTGTTTATTGTTTTTTGATGTTTTTTGGGATGTTGTTCTGGAGGGGGGGGTCAAAAACAACAACGGGGCTGCAGATTTTGTTTCTACGGGGGGTAGAGACAACAACATCTTCTAGGATGTGGTAGAGGTCCTAACTAGAAGTTTTACAGAGGCTTAGCTGACCGGACTACCACTCAAGTCTTGGTTGGTCTGTTGTTTTTCCCCAAACAGTGTGGGCACACTGAGGGGTTCTTACGGTAGTGGAAAAGAAGGTGTGCTTAGATCGCTGTTCCGCACGGGCGTGTCCGGCCAATTCGCTGCTATTTACAGTAAATTCATGCCTCTCGACATGTCAATGTGCACTTCGACTGTGCAGGCTCGCGAAATCTGCGTGGGCGCGGCGGGTGCTTCTAATGACTGCGCTCTCGTTGCGGTGGCAGTCGCAAGGGAAACCTTGTGCTTTGGTGCTCCAAAGTCGACTTTCCGTGACAGGTGCAAGGGATCGGAGCTGCTTTACTTCGAAAAGCAGTTTTCGTGGCAGGTGCAACACTTTGGACATGGTGGTGATCCTCGAGGAAGAGCTCAGATTTCGTGACAGGTGCAGTGAATCGTGACTTTTGGACATGTGGCTCGTTTGCAGATTTCGTGGCAGGCACAGCACTCTGTGACCCTTGATGTGCAGATTTCGTGGCAGGTGTAGCGCTTTGTGAACCTCGACGTGGCAGGCTGAAGTGCAGATTTCGTGGCAGGCACAGCACTTGGTGAACCTTGAAGCGCACATTTCGTGACAGGTACAGCACTTTGTGAACCTCAAAGTGCAGATTTCGTGACAGGTACAGCACTTGGTGAACCTCGAAGTGCAGATTTCGTGGCAGGCACAGCACTTGGTGACCTCGAAGTGCAGATTTCGTGGCGGGCACAGGATTTGTTTGGTGAACCTCGAAGTGCAGATTTCGTGGCAGGTGCAGTACTTTGTGCTGTCAGATGGTCACTCCCTCACACACTCACTCACTCCCCCACTCACACTCACACTCCTCACACTCGCACCCACTCACTCTCCCACTCGCAGACTCTCACCCGCTCTCACTCACACTCGCGCGCACACTCACTCACTCTCGCGCTCTCACTCATTGATGGTCGATCTTCTTGTGATCGACTGAAGGGGAGAGCATGTCGGCTAACTCTTGAGAACCCAGATCCGTAGGATCAAGAAGGTTGATCAACATACAAGCTCGACGCCAAGCAAGTGGTGTCCGGAAAGCCTTTGTATGGATATCAGCACACATCTTGTGCAAAATTTTTATAGAGTACGACAAAAGTGGTCACGTTGGAAATGTTCATGCAATGACACAATGGAACCGCCACACTCACTCTCACCCACACTCACTCTCACTTACACTCGCACTCGCACTCACACTCTCAATCTCGCACTCTCACTCTCACTCTCACCCACCTTCACTCTCACTCACACTCACACTCACTCTCTCTTCACTCTCACTCTCACTCTCGCTCTCACTCTCACTCCCACACTCACACTCACACTCACTCACCCACTCTCACTCTCACTCGCTCCCCCACTCTCACTCTCACTCACACTCACTCTCACTCTCACCCACACTCACTCACCCACCTTCAGTCTCACTCACACTCACTCTCACCCACTCACTCACACTCACTGTCAAACTGGCACTCACTCAGTCTCCCACTCTCACTCACACTCACACTCCCTCACACGTTCACTCTCACGCACGCTCACTCTCACCCACACTCACGCTCACTCACACTCGCACTCACACTCACTCTCGCAGTCTCACTCACACTCACTCTCACTCTCACTCACGCTCACTTACACTCACACTCACTCTCACTCTCACTCTCACCCACACTCACTCTCACTCAGACTTGCACTCACACTCACTCTTCCACTCTCACTCACACTCACACTCGCTCTCACCCACACTCACTCACACCCACCTTCGCTTCATCACCACCATCACCTCTCTGGACCCCAATGTGTCTAGATCTCTAAACTTTCTGCTTACAGACCTCACACACACTGTTTGGGTCTCTTGCCGGGATAATTTGATGTTTTTGGGGGTAGAGACAACAACATCTTTTGACGGGGGTGCAAAAAACAACAACGGGACTGCAGCTTTTGTTTCTAGGATGTGGTAGAGGTTCTAAGTAGAAGTTTTACAGAGGCTTAGCTGACTGGACTGCCACTACTGCTGCTGCTGCTGCTGCTGCTACTACTACTACTACTACTACTATACTACTACTACTACTACTTCTACTACTACTACTACTACTACTACTACTACTACTACTACTACTACT